ATCTGTATCTGTATCTGTATCTGTATCTGTATCTGTATCTGTATCTGTATCTGTATCTGTATCTGTATCTGTATCTGTATCTGTATCTGTATCTGTATCTGTATCTGTATCTGTATCTGTATCTGTATCTGTATCTGTATCTGTATCTGTATCTGTATCTGTATCTGTATCTGTATCTGTATCTGTATCTGTATCTGTATCTGTATCTGTATCTGTATCTGTATCTGTATCTGTATCTGTATCTGTATCTGTATCTGTATCTGTATCTGTATCTGTATCTGTATCTGTATCTGTATCTGTATCTGTATCTGTATCTGTATCTGTATCTGTATCTGTATCTGTATCTGTATCTGTATCTGTATCTGTATCTGTATCTGTATCTGTATCTGTATCTGTATCTGTATCTGTATCTGTATCTGTATCTGTATCTGTATCTGTATCTGTATCTGTATCTGTATCTGTATCTGTATCTGTATCTGTATCTGTATCTGTATCTGTATCTGTATCTGTATCTGTATCTGTATCTGTATCTGTATCTGTATCTGTATCTGTATCTGTATCTGTATCTGTATCTGTATCTGTATCTGTATCTGTATCTGTATCTATATCTATATCTATATCTATATCTATATCTATATCTATATCTATATCTATATCTATATCTATATCTATATCTATATCTATATCTATATCTATATCTATATCTATATCTATATCTATATCTATATCTATATCTATATCTATATCTATATCTATATCTATATCTATATCTATATCTGTATCTGTATCTGTATCTGTATCTGTATCTGTATCTGTATCTGTATCTGTATCTGTATCTGTATCTGTATCTGTATCTGTATCTGTATCTGTATCTGTATCTGTATCTGTATCTGTATCTGTATCTGTATCTGTATCTGTATCTGTATCTGTATCTGTATCTGTATCTGTATCTGTATCTGTATCTGTATCTGTATCTGTATCTGTATCTGTATCTGTATCTGTATCTGTATCTGTATCTGTATCTGTATCTGTATCTGTATCTGTATCTGTATCTGTATCTGTATCTGTATCTGTATCTGTATCTGTATCTGTATCTGTATCTGTATCTGTATCTGTATCTGTATCTGTATCTGTATCTGTATCTGTATCTGTATCTGTATCTGTATCTGTATCTGTATCTGTATCTGTATCTGTATCTGTATCTGTATCTGTATCTGTATCTGTATCTGTATCTGTATCTGTATCTGTATCTGTATCTGTATCTGTATCTGTATCTGTATCTGTATCTGTATCTGTATCTGTATCTGTATCTGTATCTGTATCTGTATCTGTATCTGTATCTGTATCTGTATCTGTATCTGTATCTGTATCTGTATCTGTATCTGTATCTGTATCTGTATCTGTATCTGTATCTGTATCTGTATCTGTATCTGTATCTGTATCTGTATCTGTATCTGTATCTGTATCTGTATCTGTATCTGTATCTGTATCTGTATCTGTATCTGTATCTGTATCTGTATCTGTATCTGTATCTGTATCTGTATCTGTATCTGTATCTGTATCTGTATCTGTATCTGTATCTGTATCTGTATCTGTATCTGTATCTGTATCTGTATCTGTATCTGTATCTGTATCTGTATCTGTATCTCTATCTGTATCTGTATCTGTATCTGTAGCACTCTTATTTTATCATATCGCCATTGGCATTTGTAATCAAGAGTGTTTCGTGTCACGCGCTCATCTCTAGTGTGCAGTTAGCAAAAATGAGGCTTAATATAAACTTTTAACAAGAGTCGCAGCAAGCCAACATCATTTTAAGATGACACAACATTCGTAAGCCTCTTTATCAGACTGTGTGTGGATGCCTATGCCTGTGCTTGTGCCTGTGTGGGTGGTACTGCCTTTCATTAGGAGACGCCAAAAGAAACAGGCTTGAGAAGATTTCGTTGGCAAACAAATTTTTGAGAATCTATTATGGGGCAGCAGAAGAGGAAGTCAAGTTTCGTTGCGGTTACGAAATTTCCAGGCACACATAGCCTCTGGCACCCTCTGCACGTCTGCCAGACAATTTGCATTTTGCCTGGTAAACAGATTGCGTTGCGTATACGCCCGGTTGTCTGTTGGCCCCTTTGAACCAGCTAACTCCCCGTGCGCCTGCTCGCCCGCCCAACCGGCACTTTGTCACGAATGAAGTTTGAGTGTTTGTAAGTTATTTCAGTGTGCGATTGCAAGTCTGTCTGTCCGTCTGTCCGACTGCCTCAATGTCTGACTGTGTGTGTCTGACAAGTGACGACACATGTTTTCAGAGACGCTGGGATCTGGTGCTGGCACAATGCGCCCGACTGGCAACTAATTTATGCCACACAGAAGGCATTCGAAAGACTGCGGGAGTGCCGAGGCACCTTTGTGTGCCTGCATTAATGCCTTGTTAATAACAAGCGCTGCGACAATTCGCTCAAAATTTGTTTTCGTCTTTCGCCCCTTTCAACAGCCGAGTCGCAAGCTTTGAGTGGGTTGCCTAACAGCAGGTCCATTGTTTGCCCAGACAATCGCATTCGCAACAACAATGCAACAGTGCTCAATGACGTATGCTGGGCATAGAGTGCACAACAGGTATTGCGCACCTGAGCAATGGCATCAGTTACCAGACAGTACTTCTGCTATCAGCCGTAGCAACAATCTGCTTGCATAAATTTAACCAGGGCTTTGTTTTGCTTTCTATTGTATTGCCAGAAAATTTCTTATTTAAATTAATTGTATACGTGGAATGATGTTTGTTTTCTAGCTAAGTTCACATTTACTCAGCTTTATTTTTCATGTTGCCTCATGGCTACTTTCGGATCTGCAAATATTTTTCTTTATTTCACAATTATTTTAATTGCAATACTCTGTGCTGCACTACTAAACATTAGTTCATATTGTTTTAAGAGCTAGTTAATGAATACAGTCAAGTCAACTGCATAATCCGATACACTCATTGCAGATAGCTGACTCTCTGATTTGTTGTCATTTCCATTAGGCTATCTGTCTGCTGAATTCAAGTGCAATGCGTTCATTCTGGCTCTTGTTTTTATGAAAAACATATCTCGGCTTTGTAGTATGAAAATTGGTAGCATTGTAAGCAAGAGAAATGCCTGAGCAGCTGTCAGTATATAAAATATGTCTGCAGGATATTAAAATAGTTTTTTTTTTTTTTTTAGGCATATAGAACTGGCGAGCCTAAACACACATAAGGTTACTTAGTTTAGCTTTAGGTAAATAGAAAACAAATAAACGTTATTTATGCTTTGTCCATTTAAATCTCTCAAAATGCGATAAGCCCTCGTCAAAAGCAATTTAACCGGAGGCGCTTTTTGCTCCAGATTTGTCGGGGCAGACGTTCAAATAAAAATGGCATTCGAGGTAATCGACAAAAGGATAAATCCGTTTTGAGAAACTAGTTTTCAGTGCCAAATGACGAGGCGACCTTGACTGGATCAGTCAACAAACGAGCCGGAGCGAAATATGCGCAGTTTCCATTCAAATTGCGAGCCAGAGTAAGGGAAGGCAATAAAGCGAATGTCGATAAATGAGATTGACAATGACAAGCATGAAATCGACTGCAGTAAGGTTAACACAAAGATGAAAAAATGCCAGTTGCGAGTCAATAAAAAACGAGAGAGACCGAAAATAAAATCGTGCTGAGGTCAAATGCCAAGCGGAGAGCAGGCAGCAGCTCAAAGCCCCAACGATAACCGAAAAAACCAAAGACCTTAAAACAAAATGAACCCAACAGAGTGACAGCTGAGCAGAGCGTCTAGGTTAACAGATGGCCGAACATTTACGGCCACTGTGGCCATGTGCCAGCCGGTGACCAATGTTTTCAAAGAGCTAGCACGGAGAACACGACGATTGAGATCGACGTGAATATACTCTTTAGCTAGAATTGCCTTGGGGATATCCGTTGAATATATAATCCATAGTAACAAGCAGACGGACAAAGAAGACTTTGACTACGCTAATATTGAAGGAGCAGATGAGAGTGTACATAACAGAGCAAAAATAGCTAACCATATAGTCAGTCTATAATACTACTTAAAGACAGAAACATTGACTCGTAACATGAGTTTACAAAAACTTGAAACTGTAGCCAGACATCAATTTGAACATAGTCAGTTCAATGTATTAAGGGTATGAAAATAGAGAGAAACTAAATGACAACTGAAATGAGCAAACGTCAAGTGCACAGAGACAGCTGCTCTGCTCTGCTTTGCTCTGTCCTTAGATAAAGAGGAGGAAAAAAGTTTGCTCGTTCGCTGGATTTAAATGTGAATTAAAGAATTCCCCAAAGGTCCGCAGATGAGTAACATATGAAAGATGGCTTACATGCGACTAGTTGGCCACTTATGCCTGGCAAAGGTTTGGGGCGGGCAATAACAAATGTGCAAACATTGGTTTAGAGAGCGCTGCTGCCCACTCGCTACTCGCCAGTTGCCAGTTGCCAGTTGCCGGTTGCCAGTTGCCAGTTGCCACTTGCTGCATTTGCCATTTGCATAAATCAAATTTGAATATGCATCGCTGGCTGCCACGGCCAGCAGCAGCGCCGGCGCCATTTGCTGGTGGGTTGTCGGCGGCGGTTGGTGTTGGGTGTTGGACGATGCGGATGTGGATGCGGATGCGGATGCGGATGCAGATGTGGATGCGTGTGTGGGGCGACAAGCTCAAAGCAGCTGCACAAACACGTACGCGCAAAGGCAAAGCATGCGTGTGTATGGATGTGGTGCTGCACCTGTCCTCGAACACGCACGAACTGAAAGGCACGCACAAGACTCAGACACACGCACAAACACACACACAGAGCAGCTAATGCATATGGGTATTAAAAGCAGCTAACTCCGCGATGAGCACCCGACAAAAAATAAACATTCGAGACGTAGGCCAAGTATTGTAGCAATGAAATATTTATGTTCGACTAAACTAAAGTTAGTTAGTTAGTTAGTTAGTTAATTATATAAATATTATTTATAAATTTAATCAACTTTTTATTTTTATTACTAAGACCTGAACACATATTGTTCTCCTTAATTTTGCAGAGTATCCTTTTTGACATATTCGTCGGTTGTATTCCTCGGCGTTTTCCTTTGCATCGACTGGCACGTTAAGATTAACTTTCCTCGCTAATTTACGGCGCACGAACTCATTTGAAGCACATTAACGCAGACGAGAGCCAGCAGCGACTCGGATGCGGCAACACTTTGTTGCAACCGCCATAATGGGAATTGTGAAAATCAGATTTGAAATATATGAATGCACACATAATAATGTTGAAATGACGTTTCTTACTTCTCTTTCAGAGAGCAATGCATTGCCATATGTATTTGATTCCAGTTTGCAGATGAAATTGAAGCGAAGTTGGCATAGAAGATGAAGTACGGATAGAATGAATTCAAATCAATATTGCCACTTATATATTACATATAAGATCTCCAATATTATAACTTAACTTAAATTTTTGACAACTTAAAATATGAGTTGGTTTTACAGGAGAATAAAATTGAAGCAGTTAATTTGATCTCTGGTCTGGTTTGGCCTTCACAAAATTAAAATGAATTTCCCATAATACAATATGCACGATTCTATATCCATACTACTTGTGAGTTTTCGGGTCGGTTTGAGTTCCTTTAGTATGGTCGTTTTCTTTGAGAAACAGAAGAAGAAAGATTTGTTAGTTGAAGCGAGATATGTATATCATTAATGTATTTACCGTCTGGTTGGGGACTGGCAGACTGTGGCGGCTCATCAGGATTTGGTATTTGTCTTTGAGAATCGGGAGCACTTTGGAAGTCCTCATTTATGGACTGATTCACATCAGCTGTCCTTAGAAACGATTCACCCTCCAATATCTCTATGGGGTTTCTTATGAATGGTTCCAATATGTTCGTAACAATCGATATCACGGATTCTTTCAGTGGCTGACGTTCCTCCTTGGCCTTGTCATTTTTGGGCGCAGCAGGAGCAGCAGCCGCGGAGTCTGTAAACCCGGTCAGCATATCTAATGGAAATGGGTAGTAAATTTGAAGCTTGCGCTCATGGGAAATTGATGTTAGGATCTGCAAGTGCCGCAACTGCAGAGGGATAGAGTCCATAATTCGTGTTGATTATTTATACGATTCAGATGATACTCGCCTGCAGGGCAATTTTGTTCTTGGCCATCACATCGGATGCCTCCTTCAAAGCCTTCGATGCGCTGTGTTCTCCTTCGGCAGATATGATCTTGGCACGAGCTTCCCTCAAAGCCTCCGCCTCACTTGCCATCGCTCGATGAAACATTTCCGGCAGATTGATGTCCTTACTGAAAGCTAGCGTGAGAGTCCTGCGATGCGACTTTAATTGCGTAAACTTACAGTGCAACTCGTTCGATTTTCACACCCCAGCTTGCAGTAGATCGTTCGCAGCTAACGCGAATCTCTTGGGACAATAATTCCCTGGAGGTCAGAATTTCGTGAAGTTTCTTGGTACCCAAGACGCTACGTACCATTGTCTGCGCCAGGAGGATCGTAGCTTCGTGCACATCCTCGACTTTCACAGTCGACTTCAATGAGCCAATGACATAGTAGAAGAGCACTGCATCGACAGTCAGTGTGACCGCGTCTTTGGTGATTATATCCTGAGTGGGAATGACTTCGACTCGCCAACGCAAGTCCACAATTCCGTAAGAATCGATGCAAGGCAAATACCAAACCAGACCGGGCCCTGCTGCGCCTTTCCTAAGCAAGAGCGGGCCAAACAAAATAGAATAGAGAATATTTTCTTTCTGAATCTCTTACCTTACCCGTCCCAACCGAAAGATAACAGCTCGCTGATACTCGGGGATTGTAGTAAAACAAAAGAAAATGCTTATGGGAAAGGTGAGGACAACGACGAGCCAAGTGAAGAAAATGGCAATTTTCTCGAATGTCGTGCCGCCACTGCTTTCTGTGAGATTTTGGTTCGCGGCTATCGGAAAGTTACCTATTTGCAAAAATCTTCTTCTGGATTTCTGATTGTAGGTCTCTTCAGATTCGTCCTTAGAGTTTGGAATCTCTTCCACATGTCCTCTACCTTCCTCTGCAGCATTGTTACCTATATCGTTTTGATTGCGTGAATTGCGTTGGATAGCCATTACAACAAATTTTGTTTTCTGCATCAACTACGAACGGCATATTTACATAAGTATTTGATGCCTAACAATTCTTAGAGCTATTGATTCAAAAATATGTTTATCTTCAAATGCCCTTAAAAGGGATGTAAATATATTTGTGTACAAGTTTAATTGAATTAAAAATAGGGATGTTAAGTTACATTCCCATATAAAATGTGAAGCAGAAAGTAGAGGGAATTCAGTTTCCCAGAGCCTTTACTCCTCGTCAGTTTCGTTGCTTGCAGTCGAAGACATTGCCGATTGAATTTCAGTTCGGGTGCTAAGGATCGGCATCAGGGACTCAGTACTAACACATCCGCCTTTTTAACGAGTCTCGAATGGCGTCAGTATCTCCAGTGGGAAGGGATAATAAATCGTGACCATGCGCTCGTGGGCAATCGAGGTCAATATTTGCAAATGCCGCAGCTGTAAAATTTCGAGCAGAGCTATGAAACGGCTGAATATTTATTTAATTGACCGCTGCACTCACCTGCAAAGTGATTTTATTTTTAGCCATCACGTCGGATGCCTCCTTCAAGGCCTGCGAAGCCAACACCTCGCCCTCCGCAGATATGATCTTGGCGCGGGCTTCCCTCAGAGCCTCGGCCTCGGCGGCCATGGTTCGATGAAGTATTTCCGGAAGATTGATGTCCTTGCTGAGCATAGACGTGAGAGCCATAGGAAAAGACGATGAGTTTGTGAAACTTACAGTGCGACTCGTTCGATTCTCACTCCCCACTTCTCAGTGGCCCGGTCGACCGCAATGCCAATTTCGTGGGACAGTGACTCCCTGGAGGTCAACAGCTCATGAAGCGTTTTGCCACCCACGACATTACGCAGCGTTGTCTGCGCTATGAAGAGCGTCGACTCGTGCACGTTTGAGATCTGAATTGTCGCATGCAGTGAGCCAGTGATGTAGTAGAAGAGCACCGCATCGACGCTGATTGTGACCGAGTCCCTGGTGATCATCTCCTGAGTGGGAATGACCTCCACTCTGGTACGCAAGTCCACAAGTGCGTAGGAATCGATGCAAGGCAGATACCAGACCAGACCCGGCCCTGCTGCGCCCTTCCTAAACGGGAGAGGGTCAGACGAGAGCATATCTGAGGTCTCACACTCTTACCTGACCCGCCCGAGGCGGAAGAAAATGGCGCGTTTGAATTCGGGGATTGTAGTAAAGCAGAAAAATATGCTCAAGGGAAACATGAGGATAACGACGATCCAGGACAGAAGGATTGCAATATTCTCAAATGTGGTATTTTTTCTGTTCTCATCTATCGGGGAGTAATTCAGCCAGTTAGTAAAGGCGAATATTTGAGTACCTTAAAGTGGAGCAATTACTCGGTTGAATATATTTCCTTCCTGTTTTGCGAGGCTCCGCTGACGCTTCGAGATTCATTTCGGAGTCAATTTTCTTGTCGCCCATAACTACAAAATTTTGCAATAACCACTATCAATTTCGTATATGTATTTCTATATGCTTAATAGAGCGAGGGGTTCTCGGTTTAATGAATTATTTGAAACACTGCGAGTAAACATTTTATCTAATAGAGCACTCTAATTCCATTAATCTTCTTCAGTTTTTCTTTGAAGTTAGATTAAGTTTGTTTGCGATTTCTATGCCTATGCCTGCGCCTGGAAGTTTGCATAATATTTTGGGAAAAACTATATGAAAACTTTTAAATTTATATGCAGTTGCATTTTCGACAAACTCTCGGAAAACAAATAAGAATGCTGCAATTAAATGAAACCGACTTTAGAATGTTCTGCAGAAAGTCTTTATTAAGTATAAATAATTTCTATATATTAAATGAGAACTCATAAACAATTCAATTATTTTTTATTTTGTCTCTGAGAATGTAAAATTTTTCATAATAGTTTTTTATATGGTAAGAAGGCGTTATAAAGCCATATATGCTGTGGTCCGATGTGCCAGTGCGGGTCAGAAAAAATAAGTTTGTCACTGAAAGTTGCCAAAAAGTTGGCAGTCGAAAAACTTAAAACTTTTGTTTTCTCGCCCACATTATTTTCCTTTATTTTTCTTTACCTTTATTTTTTTATTTTTTTTTCCAAATAGCTGAAGACAAAGGCCAGCGGGTGAAGTGGCGTGAACGAAGGTGGTGTGGGGTATAATAACTTCGGAATGACTTTTGTTGCTTCCTTATAATGCATTGTGCGGCAGTGGCAGCTACTAACTTTTTCACTCCGTGACCACATGTGCCAAGCGAAAAGTTTTTCTCTGCTCCATTCAGTTTCACCCGCTGCCAGATTCATGCGATCCCATCATAAAGTAATTTATGTGATTTGCTCGTCCTCATCCGATTGCAAATGCAGCGCCATATGGTCAGCACCAGGCAGACAGCCAGCCATCCACCCAGCCAACTGGCCAATTGACTCTCACCGAGCACACAGAAAATGACTCTATTATGCTTTCGACTCAAATGGGGAGCGCTCTTTGATGGAGGCATAAAGTTATTAGTCCACTGGGAAAAACTGACCGCAGCATATGAAGTAATTCCATGAACTCTGGCTAAATGAATGTCACATCGGACTAAGCGAATCCGTCATTGTCAGCATTTGTAATGGAATATAACTACATGAATGCACACATAGCTTACAAGCATTGGCTGCATGCTGAACCTAAGCAGCTTAGGGCTCCTCTATATGAGAGACAAAAGGGATTGCAACAGCAATTAAAATCAGAGAATTAGTGTCATTTGTTGCAATTTTTAACAGAGAGTTCGCTGGAATCGATGCGATTAAATGTAAAAATATGTTAATTGAGATAATTAGAGGAGCTGTGAAAATTCTATTTTAAAAAATTTATTGTTTAAAGGCACTTATAACGTGTTGCAAAACATGCATTAAATTTGGAATATTTAGAAGTTTAAATAAATACAAGTATAAGAAAGTATATAAGATTTCCTCTAGGTATTACCCTAAGTATTTCCCCCAAGTGTTTAATGCTCAGCTAAACGATCATTAAATACTTACACACAGTTTACTTCATTGCACTGCACAACTGACCCTCACCAGGTCTGGGACGACTGAAGAAATACAGAAGCTGCTGCCCTTTATATAGGGCTACTTCCACTCATGCACTTAGTGTCGCTCAAATATTGAGCCAGGGAGAAGTCGTTGCAGTCGAGCTTTGAGTGACCAATGGGAACACTCTCTGCTGCTGCAAGCATTCAAGCTTCGTTTTACTCCTATATAAATACCAAATGAATACTGCTGCATACATATAAATAACTTAAGTGATATTGCGTACCTCTTCGTTGCATGATTCTGCATAGGTGAACAGACAGAGAGACCGACGGAGAGACAGACTGTGAGAATGACGGGGAGACTGACAGAGTTACATATACACAGACAAACATGCGAACACATACATATACAGGCAAACTATCACGCATAGTTAAATCAGACTACCTCAAGCATATATGTATATGCTTGATAAGACTAAATGTTGATATGCTAAATGAGAAATATATTAACTAATAAGTATAATTAATATGGTATAAATACTTCTTCTTCTATAGTTCTTTTAAGGACTACGATTCTGCATAGTCGGACTCATTTGCTGGCTATTCCATCCCATTCTCAATTTCAAGGGCTAAGTCTAGCAATCACAGATCAAGCGTAGAATGAGTACAGTATCAGTCCTGTGTAGGGCTCAGCAGATCTCCTAGTGGGGCGGTCCCGACTAGAGCACTCTCACTTATTTATCTTATTTTCTGTATTTAAATTATGTTAGCAAACGCAGCAATCTGTTCAAAATTTAATTACGCAAAATTTCTCTTAGCAAACATATACACATTAACACTGCACACATACACAGTAAAAGTTTCAAATTTCAGAATCTAGTAAAAAAAAAAAAAAAAAAAAAAACAAACAAACATAAAAATATAAAAAAATAGGAGATGAATAGGCAGATAAATGACAAAAAATATGCGACTAACCGGGAGGCCATTCGTATGGCCCAGATAGGTGTGTAGCTACTCAAGTGTTCCTTTTCAGTCGAGATCGAAACTAATTGAGTGGCATTCAGATTTCTCGTCGCTGCGGCCCACACTCATTGAGCTTGTAATGGCAATGATGAGAGAAGCGTTCGAGCGCGTCAAGATCTCATTGATATTGCCAAAGCTGATTCAGGATCGCGCGATGGTTAAGAACGTGCTGACCGGCACGCAATACGAGCCGGCAATAAAGCTGATAGACGATTTCCTGCGACGACGCGATATCATCTTGAGGGAGCAGCGACAGCCACTGATGGATCACGGCATGATCCAAATCATCGATTACTTTCAGCGGAACATGCAGATCTACACTCTGTTCCCCGGATTGATAAACGCCCTGTCCAAAAGGGAGAGCGCTCTATTGATGACCTTCGCTAAGCTGCTCAAGGTGGCCGAAACCCATTTGAATCGGGATGCTTATGAGCAGATAGCGCACGAACGTCACCTGCAGAAAGTACTAAAGGAGAAGCAGAAACTCTGGGAGGAAATACAAAAATTTCAGAATGTGATTGAAAAACACAACATCGAGGAGAGTGATAAAGCACTCGCCAAGGAGCAATACGTGGGAAAACTTATGGAAGAGAGAAGACAGAAAAAACTGCGGGACGACATGAAAATCGAACGTGAAATGTAGGGTAACATACATATATATATATATATATATATATATATATATATATATATATATATATATATATATTTATTTATTTTTTATATATATATATTTGATAATATATTTAAAAATTTCACTTTCACGCAGTGAGGTCTCACGTCGAGCTATGCGAGCCAATGCCAAGGCCAGCCGAGATAAGCAAATCGAACTGGCTGACGAACTGATGAAAGTGAGATACGAAGATGCCAAACTAACAAAGGACAGCAAGAAAGCTGAAAAGGAAGCTCGCGAGGAAAAGTAGCTCAAAGTTATATTTGTTTAACTATAACTTATTAACAATTTTCTTCAAAGGAACAAATTCGAAATACAACTGCAGAGCATTATTAAGAAATACGATACGATGATGATTGAAAAATTTGCCGAGAATCTGGAGCTGACGGACAAACTGAATGAGGCACAGAAGAAACTCGACGAGTATAAGGTTACCTATCGCAAAGAGCAGCGCATCTACAATGAGATCGTGGCCAAGCGCGAGAAGGAAGAGGAGCGCAGGAAGCAAGAGATGATCATCAGATATATGATGAATCGGGCTGCTCGCAAAATCCAAAAGTATTGGCGCGCATGGCGCAAGAGTCTCAAGAAGAAGAACAAGGGTGCGAAAAAGCCGTCTACTTCTGCTGCTGTAGATGTAAATAATTAGAGAAAGACAAGTTTAGACATGTCTCATTCCGTCATTCAATTAGAAAAGGGACTCTGTGATTATCAGAGACAGAATTACGAACATTTCTCTTTATAAAAGTCTCCCGAGCGCATTTGTCGCAAAGCTCAGCTGAAAAGAGGGAAAATTGAAAATAGTTAATGCATAGGCTTTAAATATATGATTCGGAAAATTAAAGAGCTCAAGAAAGTTAATTTAAGTTGAGTGAGTAATAGGCTTGGGCTCTTGGGAATTCAAGTATGTAAATAAAAATCTATGAATATTAACACGGCGTGTTATATATCAAAATGAATAGTTACTCTATTTTGGGAGCACATATTCTATGCATTTATAAGAAATAAGAAGAAAATTTAATTAATGCAGGCGTCGAACAACTAAGATGGAGATGCGGCTCGAATGGCGCTGGGAAAAATTCATTGAAATTACCAAGCGTGAAATGAGCAGCTGTCACTGGAGCACAAAGGACACTGAGCAGACAGACCAGGACACGCAAGCACACACACTTTAACGTATATGCAAACACAGAGAGAGAGAGAGAGAGAGAGAGAGAGAGAGAGAGAGAGAGAGACTGGCGTGCAGACAAAAGCTTGACAGCTTGAGATAGAAAGCGAATGGCATTTGAAATTTCATTAAATTTCCCTTTTTCGTGCAATGCGAAAAGTCGCGCCATGGAAATTCTCGCAGCTGTATTGACATCGACAGCAGATATATGTACGCTAATATACACATATATACAGACATATATCTAGGAAAAGAAAGTCAACAGCCTTGCGGTACTTGCGGCCTGTATAAGTTTCTATTCAATTAAATGATGGCCATCAGTTGCCAAATTTGAAAGTTCACGACATTCTCGATTCAAGTGCAGCTGTTCTCCATTTGGGGCCTTCGCATTTTCTATGCCATTGACCGTCCGCCGCATTCCATATTCCGACTATTTCGCTTCCTATGTGTCGCAATAAATTAAGGCTGAGTAGGCGACGGCTTTAATCTGCCTTGCTTAGGCGGCGGCAGTGACTGGACACGGCCTGACTGGACAAGGCCATTGTAATCAGCACATTCTGCTCTCCACATAAATCCGGACAACTGCGATAAGTCCGGGGCCAGCGTAGACACGCTGCAGTCGGAAACGGTCTGGCAACGCTGCTCAAAAAGCTACATGGAACCACGTCAAGCGCAACCTGAAGGATGAAAATCCCTCGCTTCAAATGGATTTACGCGCACTCGCAAAGTGCCGGAGCGGAAAAGATGCCGTGACTGGGCGTGAATAGTAAGACACTTCTTGGCGTCGCCCACTCCAACTCACTCCCGCTCACTCGTCCCCCCGCCCAGTCGCCCACTCACCCATGCTGCAGGATGCGTAAATTTGCCAAGCTGGAAAAATATGCGCAAATGTGTTGGCATTAACAATACCTCAGTCAGGGGTGGAATCGGATAAAGAACTCGCTCGAGCACAGGGACTGCACCAGATATCAGCAGCTCAGCGAGCTCGGGCAGCTGCCTGACTATACTTTCTGCTTAATTTACTTCTGATAAAGCGCATAATATTTTGAATGAAGTATTTTCAGACAGCCAACTTAGCCGTAAAGTTCTTAAGTTGGATATTTATTATAGGGAAACTTGCGTGCCTTAACATTAAAGGTTTGGAAAAAGGATGAGCTAGAGGTAGAACTAGCTCTACATAGAATATCTTCCATTTTGAATAAATCTTTGATTATTACACAAATAAAGTGAATTCCAATAAGATTAACAAAATTTGGTTCAAGGTCAATTTCCAATTAAAGTTTCGGAATTTCCATAGTATTTCTCGGGAAATTTAGAATAATATTATTAATGAACAAGAATATTGCCAAATTCACTCATTGAGCAAAAACAGTGCAAATTGCATAGCTCCAATATGAGTTTCTGAAAATTGCCAATGTTTATGTGGTAAAATGAGTATTTGCTATTAATCACACATCACTCTTGGCCAAATAGTGCTTTGGTTTTCAGAGCCTGTTTGGCAAAGTGCTGTCATGCATGGCAACACGCATAGAAATTTATGATTTGAAAACAGGCGGATTTTAGTTGCAGCACGAGTGCACGAGTGCGTGTAGCAGTCGAGAAGAGTGTGTGGCACAATTTATGGCACTCTATGTACAGCCATTCACACTCACACTCATACACACGCACAAGAGCGACTGGAAGTGCAACAGACACTAGCGAGCTCGTTTGGCCGAATTTTCGTAATTTTTGTTTTTAATTTCAAGAGTCGAGGCTGACGCTTCCCATTCATGTCTTTCACTTCATCTAAGCCTCGCACTCTCTCTCTCTCTCCCCACTGGCTTCCGCTCGACATTCCTCTTGGACTGGCCAGTTACAGTTCGGACCATGCCCATAACTTGCACTGCCCTCTGACTCTCTGCTTACCAATCGAGCCACATGCACGCAGGTTATTCTCCTTTGAAAATGAATGGCTGAATGGCTGCTGGCTGCACTCGGCCAGAGTCGTGTATTAAGTGCAAGCCAGCTCGGCCAGCAACAACAGGTAACGCTGCTAGCCATGAATGGCATCTACTCCAGCTCGATTGAGCAGTTAACTTGAAAATGCTCATTTTACACATAAATAACTGGCACAAATGCGGTTGGCTGACGGTTGGTTGACTGAGCGAGAGGTATTAAGTTTCTGCTTTGATTGCCGCCTTATCTTCTTAATTGCAAATACACTTGCCTATTCCAATTGGATTAATTGTATTGGCTTCACACTGCATAATACACTTATTGTTAGCTGTCAGATATAATTATTATTCACTTGTTACACTTTTGTAATGTCATTCAATTTGTAAGTAATATGCAAATAAATTGAATTTGACAATTCTAGTTTATTTTGAATTTCTGTGCTACTTTATGTTTCATTCCATTTCGTTCCTACTTTCAATGTTGTCAATTAGTTGGTCAACTGCTTACATTTATAGCAACATCAACAATAATTATGTTTCATTCCATTTTATTCCTATCTGCACCCCGAGATCTGTCGTTTGTTCATCTGCATTATAAATTATTCAGTTACAGATTTGATTTCCTTTTGCCCCACTTTATCATGGTTATTCTTTACCCTTTCAGCTCTTGACATTTTAAGCCAACAATCCTTGAAAATAATCCACTTCAATCCAGTTTACGCTTGCATCCGGAGAGTTTGACTATCTGTCCTCGCTCCTTTAATATTCGTAACTAACTAATGAGCAGATCTAATTTTTAATATGCTCCATTACATTGTCTGAATTGCCTTTTACTCTTCAAGTTTCACAATGATTGAGCTTAATATTTTTATTTATGACGTTGTTTTCTTCCTTCTCATTTCACTTCACATTACTCTCTCCACTCTCTCTCTCTCTCTCTCTCTCTCTCTCTCTTTCTCTCTCCCTCCCTCTCCAGCTTCCAAATAAAATTGCCTCAGTTATATGCCACAAGATTTCATATCCTAGAAACTTTGAAATTTATTTAAATGGTTTCTCGCTATGTGAAACCCCGAAGGTGTTGCGCTGCAGCCTAATCCACAAAATATAAATATATATATTTCTACACGTATACATACATACATTTATGCATATACATATTTGTCTACGCTACAATTTGTAGTACAGCGCAGCAGCCGTTGAAAATGAGCAATAAAATGGTTTAATTGGAATTCTAAACAAATCGCATTGAATGTTAATTTGAAATTGCCAAATGCTGTCGACAGCCGCGGAGCGGAGCGATCAAGCGGCCGAGCCACCCATTAGCCAGCCCAGCGTATTACATTCAATGGGTATAAAATAAACCAATTTCCCGCCCCATTGCCAACGGCTATATATGGTGGTCAATATTGGGTTTTTTGGGAGTAGGCCGTCCGACCGCAGGCCCCGGACCCGGGCCCGGGCCGCAGAGCGACTGGCACGGATATGAAAGTTCCGTCGAACATTTGTACCATGAAATTGTGTAAGCTTTTGGTGTCCCAAAAGTTGTATAAATGCACTCGAATTCGAGTCGGAAGCATAAATTTCAATATAGGCAAAATGTCATACATCCGCCGCGCGGCCAAAACTGCAGCGCGCAAATTGAAACAGAAACAATTTCTGGCCACATTGCTAGGCCTGCGGCACGTTTTAACCCAATTTTTGGGACATGTACGGTGCTCGTTGAGCCACGTGCTTTTTAATTGAGCTCAAAGCGCCCACATCTAATTATAATTGCCGATGTGTCCTTGCGGCTGATGCCCGTCTCCTGCTCCGCCTCACCCTTGCCGCATGCCAAGCAGCCCGTACGTGGCATCGTGGCATCGTGGCTCGGCAATATATTTCAATGCTATCTGGCAAGTCATCGTCACGTTTACAGGTATTATCATCAGCTGCCCAGACCTCCGCTCCAGGCCGCCTCAGACTGGTGGGCTGTCAGTCATCAGCGGAGCTGACTGCGTGTCAAATGCGACCTTGTTACCAAAGAAAAAAGACAACAACAACAACAACAAATGTAAACGAAAATGCGAAAATTGGGAACTTTGCGAAAGCGCCAAATTCCATTTTTCCATGTCAAGCTCTCGGCACGTGGAAGTGTCGCGACTCCGTCGGTAAAGAAAAATACTCGCTTCCTGCCATTTGGTTGCTTGTAACCATCGACACTTGCCACAAATTAAGTTGCACCTTTAGTTGAAGTAGTTTCGCACTTGCCTCCACACAACTGCGTGCAGAGCAAATACAAATAAAATGTGCTCGAAGTGATTAACTGCCAAATACCCTAAACGATTTACTTAAACCCACTTGGATTTGATCAAATTACAATGAGTTTACATTAAAGAAGACCAAAATATGTATTATATTTCTTTGGTTACGAAACCTTGACACACAGAATCCACAAAAGTAAAATATATTAAAATATTTTAAATAAATTTTTTAATATTCTGATACGGAAGATAAATTTAAATTTTCTTTTAAAATAAATATATTTCATGTTACATCTATAATTGAAATAATTTTTTTTAAGTAATGCTTAAACTCTTATCAGTAAGAATATTTTTAATAAAATAAGAAAATTTATAAATAAGATTTTAAAAAATAATAATAATAAAATTATTTTTTCTTTAAGCAATACTTTAACTCCTATCAATAAGAATATTTTTTATAAAAATAAAAATAATAAAAGTAATAATAGCTACAATCCAATTAGTTTATCCGGATTTGCACAAAAATCTTTTCAATGTTAATAAAATGCTTTACCATATCAGCTTTAAACATTTTAAAATTATTAACTAAGTGGGTAAAGTGAACATGATAATTCCTGGTATTCATAAACTCATTGGGAAATTTTCCGAATCTCAAAATATTATTTACAATACTCAAATTCCACAATACCCGCTCACAGCCCGACATTGAGCATTGGCAACGACCTCGCACAGATAACGTTGGGTTAACTTTTGTTTATTTCTGTGCATGCTATATATATACACACACACACACACACATACACATATAAATATGAGTGCGCTAAGTGTTTCGAAGCGTAAAAATACAATTTATGAACATTTGAGTGTCTCAACATTTGCCGGCTTTGCACCCGGCACATTTTCATAAAATTTATATTCAGTAAATACTTAAATATACTTTGCAAACACAACTTTAAACTGGAACTCCATTTTATTATGTATTGTAATATTTATCAGAATAGAAATTCGAATAGAAAAAAAAAAATAAAAATAAAAATATAAGTCCAGATCATGCGGCGCGTGAATACAATTTGTAAAACACGTCCGTTTAGCGCCGCCTGCGATCACTGGCAACGCGAGATATGCACGCGATGCCCCGACTCAAAGCTCGGCCAGGATCAGCATCACATCACCATCCGCTCAGCCAGCAGCGGCCACAGGCTCATCACAATCGAGGAATGCCAGCGCCTGAAGCGGGATCTACAGGCTAGCCTCTTTGCCTACAAGCCGGGCCTGAACTCGATGACGTACGTGCTGATTTTCTTCCTGTTGGCCTTTTTCATGGGCCTGATCATTTGGCTGCTGGCCAAGGCCTTCGTGCTCAAGAGCCCGCCCACATGCCCCGACGACTGCGCTGAGAGGCAGTCGGGCGGCCAGGCCTCAGTGGACGACATTATGCAGCAGCTGCGGGACAAATGCAACACATCGAGCAGGATGGTCGGCTGCATGGACAACAAGGCGCTGTATGTGCCCACGAGGTTTTGGGATAGCTTTTCGGTGAAGAGGTTTAGCAGGAAGCCAGCGAAGAGTGTGGAGCCCAAGTATGAGTTGCAGGTCAACACATCGGAGGAAACAAGCGACCTCGAGTCGAGTGGCTGTCAAACGGATAACAGCAAAAAGAACTCCACCGATGAGGAAATACCCAGCACAGACAGCGAGCAGTCTGAGAGAGAGACGGGGGACGAGGACCAAAGCTCCATCACCATGGACATACAGAGCGAGACGAGCAAGTGCTATGACTCCATTTCCCGAATGCCCACAACTTATGAGCCGTTAGCTACGAGTCACAGCCACAGCCAGAGCCGCAGGAAAATACGCTGGGCGAACTGGCTGCGACGCGGAAAGCAAAGCGACAATCAGGTCTAGCTCGAGTAGGCCGTAATCCCATATATGTTTATATATATTTATATTGATGTCATGTCACATATACATAGTCACTGAATAAAACGAAATGAATCCGATTTGCAAGGAAAATATCAACAGCGCGGAGTGCCAGCAGTGGATCAGCGAGGTGTACGCGCACTGCGATCGCCTGCTGGCCGACAGTCAGCTGGAGTTCTGGGACGAATGGTGGCTCAATGGGCAGCCGGTGGTATCCTACCAGGTGCCGCACCTAATGTCCGCCTCCGAGTGCCATACGCTGAAGAAGCAGATCGAGCGAGAGATCGCCGCTGCCGCAGCCGCCAGCCTGAAGCCGGAGCTACGCTTCGACCTGGAGAACATGGACTCCAGCTGGCGCTTAGTCATCGTCGTATTTGTGTTGTGCGCAGCGCTGGGCATCATTGGCGCCATGGTCTGGCTGCTGAACAACACGCTGAGTCGCATTGCGAGGCCCGATTGCGGGGACTGCGAATATCAAGGCGCTGGCTTCAGAGCAAGCAGGCAGTCGCCCCGATCTTTCATCTCCTTTGGCAACCCCTGCCATCCGAAGACCCGCTATGGGCCCTATCGGCATAACAGACTCGTTGTGCCACGTGGCGCCTGCAGGGCCATCAGGCGATAATTCTTCAGCAGCCGCATTGCGCTCACCCTTGACCATTGACAGCAGCGACACATCAAAGGGCACGCGTGACCAAAACTTGAATCCGAATCCCAACCGAACCCAAGAAGCGCAGCCAAAAATCACGACAATTAAAGCAAAGCGAAAAAAAGGGAAGAACGAGTTGTGCTCAATCGCGGCCAAGATTTATGAAATGTGTTCCGCACCGTTTTTTTTATTTTTTATTTTTTTATTTTTTGAGCTCGGTTTGCTTTTATTTTTGCGGGCCAGCAAACAACAAACAAACAGGCACAATGCAGGAGCAGAGCACCAGCGCATATAAATAACGCCCCTGTCAAGCACAATGGCTCCAACTGGCGGATTTCTGGCTTAAAGTTGAGTGTATGTACATACATATATACTCATGCGTTAAATATAAAACATATATATCAGATATTTATCAGCATATATGCATATAATAATGGTTTATTTTTGCTTACAATATCAGCAATAGCCAAGACTCTCCTTGTGCCCTTGAAAGTAGGCAATACAATTTTGTATTAGAGCACCATAACACAAGGTTGTCCATATTCGACATATTCGATAAATATATATTTATCATCCGTATTTCGGAAATACTACGTAAATATGAAAATAAAATGAAAATTATACAAATACAATAATAATATCTAATATAATTCCAATATAATAATATAACTGAGCTTCTCTTTGGCATTTAAACAGAATGAGTTATCGCTGATATTGGTATAGGGGATGGGATTGGCTACTGGATTTTTATCTTTTATAAGATAGGACATGTTATTAAACTATATTCTTTTAATGTCAGCTCTCTCACATTCAGTATCGATAATTTGTACCCTCCTAATTCAAAAATCGCGATCTATCGAAAAACAATTTTTATCCCTTTGAAAGAAATTGCTTTTCGATAAATTGACTTTCTGTGTAAATCGCAAAAAAAAAAATAAATAAATAAATAAAACTGATATTACCAATTCGAATTATCGGGACTCGAACGAATATGTTAAATAACATTTTTGGTATATACAATCTACGTTTACTCAAGATATAGAAGAAGCATAAATAATTATGCACACATATTGCGTTTCGGGCCCATAGTAAATGTCGCTGATGATAAATATATACACACGAGCCATATATTCATTCTAAAGAGAAACAAGCAAAAGAGATAGAAGAAATACACACAGTCAGGCGCAGCATTCACCATTCGCCCGTGCAACGGCCTATAAATCCGCATCTAAGCCCAAAGCCAAGCATTTTTCACAAATGCAGCGGAAAGGTCGAAACTAAATTGTGGAACATCAATAAAAATCTATTGAATTCGATTAATTGTGCATTCAAATAAAATGCTGGCGAACAATTTGTGCAAATGCTTTTCATATTTATGCTCATGATTAAATGATGCGCGACTCTACAATGGCTTCACAGTATACACTATCACTTCATGGTCTTTCCTTATAGACTATTGGAATTTGCTGTTGGCTGTGACCTATTGACGTTGTCTATATATGGAGAGCCACCTATTGCAACGATTCCACTATTGAGTTTCGACAACCTCGCCCCAATTGTTAGAAAAATATCTAAATTGCCTCACTTGCCTCGGGCTACCGTCAATCAATCAGACCAAAAAGCTTTTTTGATCTGATCGAACGCTATTTTGCACTCCAAAGAGAGTATTGCTCAGTCGATTGCATTCGACAGCTCTCATATTCCCCTCCCTTTTGTATTTGTTTTATTTCGCGAATTTATTTTCGGTGGCCGCGGCGTCCCGACCAACCAGCTCGACACTTAAATCACAGTCGCAACTGGAGCGAAATTGAAAACTTTCCCTATATTCCCACACACACACACACAAATGTACATACACATATGTATGTGTAAACGTACAGCGGGCTGTGTGTGTGCGTGGCTTGTTTGTTTATACTTTTAATTCATTGGACAGTGCAGCTGCCACAATTGCAGACCCATATCCCGGACTCAGACAGAGACCGGGTCACAGCGTGACTTTGATTTATTTGTTGGTTTCATGCCCAAATGGAATTAAAAGTTTAACATACACTACGTTTCAGTTTGTGCAGCAAATAAAAAACATAAGCAGAAAAAAGGACAACATTTCATGTAATTGACAAATTGATTTTACTTTAAATGTCAATATCCATATGGTATATAAGTGAAGCTTTATTAACAAAAGCCATTCGGATTATGACAATAAGAATGTCACAATAAATCACGTATACGCCACCGCAAAACGAGTTTATTTATTAAACTTATTTCGTTCGTTAACGGATCAACTCTAACGAGCATTTTATGTGAGATCAGGATGAAGAGAGAGAGAGAGAGAGAAGGAATGAGAGCGAGAGAGAGAGAGATAGAGATTGCGAGTTTGGAAATAATATTCCATGATAATATTTCTCTTCTTTTTTTTTTTTTTTTTTTTAAATTAATTTCCAATTTAAAGTATTCGTTTCAATGATCAAAAACTCAAATTTTCCTTTTGTAATAAAAACGAATTTACAAATATTTGCATTTGTAGAATTCATGTCAAACACAGGTTGATGCTTCATTCTGAGCTCTTTTATTAGACTTTTATTAATTGAACAAGTTATTGAATTCATTTCGAATATGGTTCAGATGTCAACAAGGCTGTCACGGAACCGACATTATGTGTTCAAAATAACTTTTAATTAATATGCATTTAATTAAAGCGCTAGAGTTTCTGTTGACTTGTGCTGACAGCTAATGAGTTGTTCGCTTTGTGCCTATCAATAACCCGCTTATGCATATTTTATGGTATGTCAAGTGCTCGTAAATTGAATGGCCAACGCAATCGGTACTTGTTTAACCTTACGGTTCATGAGCAGTGCTTAAAATTTCGATATTAGTTGGCTAGGAAAGTTCCACAAACAATAAGGAAAAGTAGTAGTTCAGTGTGTGGGAGTGGAATTGTGTGTGGGAGTGGCAGTGTGTGTGCATACATACATATATGGTTGACTTTTATGCAGCTTTTTTTTTTTTTTTTTTTTGTTCTTTACTAGGACCGACTCGTTGATTTTGTGGCCAGCACTCATTAAGCTAACATGGCCAGGCAATGTTTGTCCGTCCTTTCAAATTGCCCTGAAATCCAGGCTGCCAGCTGCCCCAGCCTGCCTGATTGCTAGCCCATAGGAGGAGCTTTGGAGCTTGTGCAGCATGTTGACGTGCATTTTTATACTCAAAGCTGATTTATTTCTTATGCTTGGAGCTCTGGTCATTGTGACTGCTGCTGCTGCTGCTGCTGGGGCAGCTCACATTTCAAGAGCTCAAAGAAAGCTGGCAAACAAAAAGAAAAAAAAAAAAAAAAAAAAAAAAAATAAATAAATAAAAAATAAAATAAAAGCCGAGCAAGCTGAAAAGCGGTATGGAAAATATTAATAATCCATGTTGTCTGCACAGCCTTCTGGTTGTCCCCACAATTTATAGCAGTTCGCATTTTATTTATGCTTACGCAAATCAGCATCCGTTTCCCATTTCCCATTTTCCATCTCATATCTTATTTAGCACGCAATGCCACAGCACCTTCGATTGGCTCTACAACAAAAAGCAAACTTGATATACATATATATGTATATGTATATGTATATGTATAAATACACCTGCAACATTAACAGTTTGGCAGTGCAATGATTGCGTGTAAACACATCATATTTTGCCCCAGCCCAGTGCAAGAATAAACTTGGTCATAAATTATTCAATACACGCGCTTCATGATTTTTTCCACGCATTTCCAACCATCGATTCCACCAAATTTGTCCGCGTCATGCAAATCGCGTCGCATCGCATCCTGCTTAGCTCTTAAGAGGCATCATCATCATCATCATCATCATCATCAGCATCATCATTATCAACCTCGGCTGAGCTGTTGGCTCTCTTCCTCGTGATGGATGTTGATTTCATTGAATTTCAATTTCATTGCATGCACCATCTCGCTCAATGCTCCCAGCTCTAAGCTCCAAGCATGTTCGATTCATATATCTCAGTCAAATGTGTGTTGTACTTCACACATGGATGAGGGGGTGTCATCCTCGGCGCCGCATCAATGCTGATGCTTCAAAAGTCTATTGCTGGAATTTAGGTTGCTCTAGAATTTGTGCGATTTTTCTTAACATGAATTTGTTTATTTAATAAATTGATATATGAAACAAGTCGGCTGTCTATGTATGTATATAAAATATTCTTATGTTTTATATTCTATTGTATTTTTATACAATATTAATGTAAAGCAATCAACATACTTGATTGTCTTACGATTTTACCTTGGTTTACAATTTTCTTTGTGTCTAAGAACCAAGCTCATTGCATTCAATTGATAAACTTTGACCTATTTTGTATTTAGTTGAATTTACGAAGCAACGAAATTTAAGCGATTTTGTTTGTGTTTTACACAAATTGAAATTTTACTCTGTATTTAAACTGCTTTATTTTATTTTCTTTGTGTCTAAGAACCCAGCTCATGCTGTCGATTGCATTCAATAGATAAACTTTGACCTCTTTTGTAATAAGTTGAATTTATAAAGCAACGAAATGTAAATGATTTTGTTTGTGTTTTATACAAATTGAAATTTAACTCCGTATTTAAACTGCTTTAATTGATAAACAAAAACGTATTTTATTTTATTTTCCGCCTTTAAATTGAATTCTATATTTAAAATGCTTTAAATAGAAACTATTTAGGCTTTTTATGCCAAATATAATTTATTAATTTAAGCGTGCTGCTCCAACAATTATTTATGGTTAATTAATTAATATTTGTTGTGGCAATTAGGCGGCTTTTGTTGCCAGCTTTAACCCCAATTAGAAGCAAATAACCGAACTGAGCATCGTTTTCATCATGTGCGAATGAGCTTTCGCAGCAAATTAGCCAGTCAAACGGCTCCAACTTGTATAGACAGACAGCCAGACGGACAGACAGACGGGCAGACAGACGGGCAGACAGAGAGGCAGACGAG